AAAAAAAAAAAAAAAAAAGTTGGGTATAACTACCACAGTGTTACATCTATACCTCATCCAGAAATGAGATTTTTCCATATGTGAATTTTCTGTGTAATTACATTATTAATTTGAATACCAACCCTTTTAAAAACATGGTATGTATCTTCTGGATTCAAAATTCTATAATAGATATTTATCTGCCTTCTTAAACAGAAGTTAACTTTTCTTGATGAGTCTAGGTCATTAATGATTATACTATACAGTGAAGAATTAGAGAACAATTATGACATTTAGGGCTTTTTGTCCTTGCACCAAATGCCCTAAAAGGACTATAGTATTTTAATTCTAATGTCAGCTTTGAATATTGTTTCCATCTCCTTCCCTTTGAAGTGTCTACCAGTTTTCTCTTCTTGCTGCTGTAATATCTTCCAGCTGACTTCTAGCATTTCTCATCCTCCTTAATTTTCTGCCTTTACTGTCCATTGGCCTGGGAAAATAAATGACTAGTCTTGTTTGAAAAGTTGTTTAAAAAAAGGTTAACTATGAGTAAAGAAAAAAACACAATGATTTACCACAACACACCCACCAAAATACCTACAATTAAACAGAATGATAATACCACATGTAGACAAGAACACAGAGCAATAGAAACTCTCATACACTACTGGTGGGGTTGTAAATTGGTGCAAAAATTTTGAAAAATTTTCTGGCAATATCTATGAAAACTAAAAATACTCATACTTCTGATCAAGCAATTCCATTCACAGACTTATTTCCAACATGAATATACTCATGAACCAAAAGACATATGCAAAAATGATTCATAGCAGCATTATTCATAGTAGCCACAAACTGTAAAAGAGGTAAATGTCCATCAGCAGTTGACAGGATAAGTTTTAGTACATATTCATGTAATGGTAAACTATGTGGTAATGAAAATGAACAAACTACTGCTATACGTGACGTGGATAAATAACACAACATAGTGGGAGTTTGTTGGAAAAAGATACTAATAAAAACATGCTGTCTAATTCTATTGATATTTAAAGTTTGGGCACAGACAAAACTAATCTGTGATGCTAGAAGTCAGAATAAGGGTTTCCTTTCAGAACAAATGAGAGGAAAGATATTGGGAGGAAGTGCCATGGGAGCTTCTAAGATGCTGATAATGATTTATTTCTTGATTGGCACTGTGGTCAGATAATATGTTAAATTTATCATAATTTATAAAGCTCTACATTCATGATGTGTGCATTTTAATCTGTGTATGTCATATTTTGGTAATAAAGTAAAAATACCTTATTAAAATTATGCTGAAGACAAACAATTGTATGGAAAAATATTCACCTGTTTTAAAAGTATAAAAAAGAGGCCAGAAAGTATCAAAATAAGTTCATAATGGAGAGTATGATCCCATCTCTTTACATCACATTGAAACAGAGTAGAAAACATGCCATATGTCACAGTCGCAGCCACAGCTCCTTTGCTATTTGCTTAGCAATAACTAGAACTGTTTGGAGACTTGTGGAATAGAAATGGCTAAGACCAGAAGTGTAGCCCAATGTGGCCAGGGAACAGATTTCATGGACGGATGTGCTGGGGGATAAAGATAGAGAGTCAAGTGGGGACCAATTTGTTAAGGGTTTAAATGCTGTGGGATGGGATCAGGATGTTATTTCAGAGGCAAGACATTACCATTGAATGTTGTTCTTCTTTATTAGATGGAGAGTGGTGGTAATAGGAGGTCCAACTCATGAGCTGGCTTTCAGGGGGGAAATTTTTTTGTTTATAACTGAAGACATTAAAACTCCTCTCTGAATTTGCCTCTGGGAAGCACCTAAGACAAGGAACATGGAACCCTTCTGGAAAAGGGGAAAGACCAGGGCGAGACACTCCATCAGATCTGACCTCAATCACACCTTTGTAGCAGCTCTGAAGATGATGCTGGTTTCTGAAACATTCCCCCAAGGAAGGATCAGCACACAAACCACGTATTTCTACCTTGTAGAACATGCACATTCATTTGTATAAACATTGATCTCTTTAGCCAAGTTCGAACAAATCCATTGTCCTGAACTACCTATATTGCTTTTGTAGAAAGCGCCTGGGAGGTAGAAAGTGTCAGAGGTGAGTTGCCCCCACAGGTGAAGTTATTGGCCTCTGAAGGAATTCCAGGGCACAGGATTACTTAATGTATCCATATTCATTACCATCAAGAATTTAAGGAAGGATTTCAATTGTGGCTGCCGATGGCAATCTTACATAAATTTTTTCTCTTCCCAATGCTCTAAGCATTCCTTGATGGTTGAAGGCCGGGATTACAGCTCTGCTTTAGCCCAACGGTTTTGTAGCACTTCCAGAAAATAAAGTAGCTGACCCCTCTCTTCCTGGCCAAAGTGTTTGGATTATGGCTCCCCAAACACACGTGCACTTACACACATACACATGCATGAACAACCCCCTGAATGAACAGGCCCCATTCAGGCTGCCATTCCCACCCTGTGGGGCCACAGTCAGTTCTGACATACTGAATGAAGAACAGGAAATCCAATTGTTCCTGTCTAGACACCTTCATACTCATCTCCCACCCATCCTAGCATACTGGCTCTAGTCGCCCTGAGTGACTGGCTGTTATACAAACTTATTTTGTACTTTCACTCCTCTGGGCCTTTCCTGTTGCTGTTTCCTCAGACTAGAATACCCCTACAAACCCTTCTCGTCCTTTTCATCACTTACAGCTCAGCTCCTTCTTGAGGCTTTCTCGGCAACTTCCCCCAATCTAAGACACCCCAGACTAAGATGTAATTCATTGCTTGCTCCTTCGTCTGTGTTTGTACTATATGTTAATTGACCCTCCTTCAGAGCACCCATTTCCATCTATTTGACATGAGTCATGTTTAATAAATAGGGCTAAAGGTCAGGTGTACTTATCCTTAAGACTGACAGACCTGGGTTCAAATCCTGGTCTCTTTCACTTGTTGCTGCTTGCCTTTGGACAGGTAAATTCACCTCCCTGACCCAGTTTACTCATCTGTAAAATAAGGATCATTAAGAGTAGCTACCTCTTAGCTAAGATTATATGATTTAATATGAAAAAAAGTGAAACCACCAGAAACAGTGCCTGGTACGTAGTAACTATTCCATACGTGTTAGCTCTCATTAATATTACCCTGTTTGAACCTACCTCAGAATGTAAGCTCCACACAAAAAGGAATAATCATTATGTTTGTCCTCCGATGTACCCCTAATACCCAGCACTGAGCGTGGCATGTGGCACGTGGTCAAGAAATATCTGTTGAGTGAGTGGATGCATCAATGAATCTGTGAAATAACTGTCATCATTAGCATCCTCCTCCTCCTCCTCTGAATCCTCTACCGCCTATTAGCATGACTCTTTATACCTCACAGAAAAACGCCAAGTGAAACATCATTGAACACCTCCCATTCCGTTGCCCCTTTGTTTTATCTCTGCTACCGCCTTTCTTGAATGCGCTTCTCTAACAAGTTTGAGTTCAGCAGCAACCACTTCAACCAGCCCCGCTCGCCGGGCAGAGGTGGGGGGCGGGAGAGGAAGACTGGGAGCGGGGCGTGGCCACCACGTCGCAGAGCCTGACTGCGCCTGCGTAGGTTGCGGCAAAGCTAAACGCTCTGAGGCTTGCGGTCATTGCTGGCCAGTGCTCGTGTAGGAAGATCGCTCACCAGATCTCACTTCTGATCCGCCCAGCTCCTGGGTCTCGGGCTTCGGCTTTGTGCCGAGGCACCAACACACGTACCGTCCTCTCTCCGACTGATCGCTGACCTCCCCGTTCCGCTCCTGTCTCCTGGAACCATGTCTCTGGTAAGCAAGAATGCGCGCCACGGCAGCGCAGAGACCACGGCAGATTACAGCGACGGCCTGGGCGAAATGCAGGCTACTAACGCCTCTGGGCTCCCCATCTCCATGCTAGTCCCTGATGGCCCCCAGGGCCTTCGGGCGCCAATCAACCCTCAGGGTGCCAGTGCTTCCCAGGCTGCTCAGCACCCGAATGACCTCGAGGTCCTGATCGACGAGCAGTCCCGACGTTTGGGGGCGCTCAGGGTCCACGACCCTCTAGAAGACAGGTCAATTGCTTTGGTGAATTTCATGCGAATGAAAAGCCAAACTGAGGGGTCTATCCAGCAGTCAGAGATGCTGGAGTTTCTCAGAGAATACTCAGATCAGTTCCCTGAGATACTCAGACGAGCTTCAGCTTACCTGGAGCGGGTCTTTGGGTTGAACCTGAGGGTTCTTGATCCCCAGGCTGAAACCTACAACTTAGTCAGCAAGCGGGGTTCTCAGACTACGGATCGGATAGCAGAGTCCCTGGACATGCCTAAGGCAGGTCTCCTGGCCCTGGTCCTAGGTCACATCCTCTTGAATGGCAACCGGGCAAGAGAGGCCTCCATTTGGGACCTGCTGCTAAAAGTTGATATGTTGGATGAGCCTCAGCGGATCAACAACCTTTATGGGAACACAAGGAACCTCCTTACTACTGACTTTGTGCGTATGCGATTCTTGGAGTACTGGCCAGTATATGGCACTAATCCCCTTGAATTTGAGTTCTTGTGGGGCTCTAGAGCCCACAGGGAAATCACAAAGATGGAAGCCCTGAAGTTTGTGGCAGAGGCCCATGATGAAGAACCCTGGAGCTGGCCAGAAGAATATAACAAGGCCATGGAGGCTGACAAGGCCAAAGAAAGAAGCCAGGCTGCTGGCTTAGAGTTCTGGTCTGAGGACGCTATGAATGATAAGGCAAATGATTTGGTACAATTAGCCATTAATGTCACTGAGGAATTGCTGCCTATACATCAGGATGAACTATTGGCTCACACTGGCAAAGAATTCGAGGATGTGTTCCCAAATATCCTCAGTCGAGCTACGCTAATCCTTGATCTGTTCTATGGGTTTTCTCTGATTGAGGTTGATACCAGTGAGCACATCTACCTCCTTGTCCAGCAACCAGAATCAGAAGAAGAGCAAGTGATGCTAGAGAGCCTGGGGAGACCCACTCAAGAATATGTGATGCCGATCCTAGGTTTGATCTTCCTGATGGGCAACCGTGTCAAAGAAGCCAGCGTCTGGAACTTGCTTCGGAGATTTAGTGTGGATGTAGGGAGAAAGCATGCCATCACCTGTAAGCTTATGAGACAGCGCTACCTGGAATGCAGGCCGCTGTCCTACTCTAATCCAGTTGAATATGAGCTTCTGTGGGGTCCTCGAGCTCACCTTGAAACCACCAAAATGAAAGCCTTGGAGTACATGGCCAGGCTCTACAGAAAGCGACCACAGGATTGGCCAGAGCAATATAGGGAGGCTATGGAAGATGAGGAGGCCAGAGCCAGATCTGAGGCAACTGCCATGTTCTTCTTTGGCCCCATGTGAAGTCTTGGGAAGATGTATCACTTCAGTTGAATGGCATCAGTTAGAAGGGCCTTGAGAAAATAGGCACTGGGACCCCAAATCAGAAGTCTGGAAGGGTTGGGGTGGGGAGTACACACTGTGCTTGCTATCTGTGTTCCAGTTCTAATAGTATTTCCTTCCTTTTAATATACCTCTGAATTGGGTTTATAATCAATGTTTATAAATGAAATTGCTCATTTGACATCCCTGTCTTGTTTCAGTATAAAAGTTCAGATAGCTGTGTAAAATGTATTGGTAATATTTACATCTTTGAAATAATCAGTAAAATGATCTGATACTGGACTTAATTTACAATAACAACACACACACACACAACAAAAACAAACACAAAGTTACTGATCTGTGGTTTCCCTCCCTTTGTGTCTTCTGCAGTGTATATATATATTTTAAAAGACTGTCATTTACCTGTATTTGCTTTGCTGTTCCAGAGTGTAGTGAAAAATAAAAGCATAATGAATTAGACACTGTGCTTATGCACTCATTTATTCTATGAACATTTATTAAGCACCTGCCATGCTCTGAGCACAGTGCTCGGTGCTGGGAATATAAGGGTGAAGAAGAACCAGCTGGGCCACAAGGCTTAAGGGGGTGGGGTCATGGAAGTAAACCAGCAATTATATTAAGCTGCAGCAAGTGGTATAATAGGGGTAAGCTCAGAGTGCTGTGGGGATTCCCTGGGATAACTCCCAACTTTAGGTGCTGGGAGAGAGGGTGGAGAAGGTGACGGGCTCCAAGAAAATCAAGGGAAAGTACAGGGGTGTCAAGCAGGGGATGAGTGGGGGAGTGGTCAGGGGTGGTGGTGGGGAAGGTGGTATGGAGGTGAAGGTGGTATGGAGGGCTGGGGACAAGATGTGCTTTAGTGACATCTATTGTGAGACCTAAGGTTGAGGAGAGGAAGGGGAAACTGATAAAAGACGGGGGCAGTGTGTAAAACACCTTCAGGGAATTTAAAAGTGGCTCAGAAGGACAATGGTGAGTTTAAGGGGGGAGTGGGAGAGATGAGTCTGCGACAGAGGTAACAGAGAGTGTCTCTTGGGAATTAATGATGGCTTTCCGGAAGGCAGCGAGTCTTGCATCTTGAGTCAGACCAACAATCCACGTGGAGGGGCCCTGAAGGGGATCCTCTCCGCCGGCAGTTTATTCAGCACCCAAGCTGTTAAGGTGCGTGTTACTGTTTTGGCTCTCTTCCTCCTGATCCTCCTCACGGCTTCTGACCTGGCTCACAGCTCTCCTCCAGCCTTCCTCAGCGAGCCGGCAGGTAACGATTTCTGAGCGGAAGCCCTGGCACAGGGTGGGAGTCATATAGAAAATCACCTATGGCAAGGGAGGGGGAGGGCTGCTGCCCACCAGTCGTGGAGGTTTTATAATTCCTCGCCTCCTGGCACCCGCAGGCTTTCTGCTCTTCTTTTCATCCATTTAATCACCAGGAGCTACCTCCAACTGGCACTTCCTACCAGACGGAAGAGAGTTGGAAGACATTCCTTACATTTTCATCAGCCTTAGGAAGAGAACAACGCAATCGTCTTGCTGGGGGAGCGGATAGGGGATGGGGAGATATGCCCTTTTGGACCCCAAGTCTGCGTGCCGCGATGCAGAAGCCTAATTAGAGCTGTCTGTTTGGGGAAGCCACTGCGCAGGCGCACTCCGCAGTTGCCAGGGCGATGCAGTCCCAACCGCGTCTCAGTGATCTCCCCTATGGCAGTAGCATTCCAAGAACTGAATGGCAAGGGCGGGATTTCCGGTGACAAGAAAATGAGTAACTGGAGAGCCTGAGTCGACGGGGTTCTTGAAAACGGGGTGGGGGTGGAGTTGTGAGGCAGGGAAGTATCCAACTCAAAATCTGGGACTTTGGAGAGGAGTCCTGCCCACGCACTAAACTGCGGGCCTCTCATTCTTCAACCTCCTTGGACCCTTAATCTGTACATGCTTGTGGGGCGGGCCAGGGGAAGGCGGCAAGCATACGAAGCCACCAAGTTTTCCTTGCTCTGACTTTTTGGATTAGTGCTGTATCTGGATACTCAAACACGTCAGCTCTTCTGGGAGTTCCAGTAGAGAGAGAAACCTGCCAAGGGGAAGGTGTAGCATCTGGACCAACAATTATCAATGTAAAGCTGCCAATTGTTTTATTATTAAATATGTGCCAAGCACTGTGCTGGGTTCTTCACATGCTTAGCTCTAATCTTTCAACGCATTCTCCAAGAAGCATTTTAATAGTCCCATTGTATATTACAGTAAACTAAGGCTTAACTAATATGCCCAAGGTCACACAGCAAGTTGGGCTTGGAGTCCAAGGAGCCCCACTTTGGGACAGTGCTATGTTCCCACTCAAATTTGCTGACTTTCAGGAGCTACAAGGAAAGACTGCAAGGCCAGAGTGGAAAAGCAAAATGATAGCCCTAAGAAGGAGGATGGAAGTGATGTTAAAATTTCTCCAGGCTCTTCTTTGTTTCATCACTGGGGATCCATGAGAGCTGTCTAGGTATAGAATATGCATTTCTGTCCAATTTCCCTACTCTGTCCTCTGAGTCCTCCCCAGTCTGTTCCTCTGAAAGCCTCCAGCATTATCTCTGCTGGCTTATCACCCAGGGAGAGTCAAATATCACCATTTCTGGAGCTCCAGAAGTGTTCAGTGATTTTTTTTAGTTTTTTTAATTTCAAAATATTACGGGGATACAAACGTTGAGGTTACATATACTGCCATTGCACTGCCTGAGTCAGACCTACTAGCGTGCCCATCCCCAGAAAGTGCATACCGCACCCATTAGGAGTGAATTTACCTATCTCCTCCTCCCCCTCCCTCCTGCCCACACCCATGAATGTTACTTCCATATGTGGACATAAGTGTTGAGCAATTAGTACCAATTTGATAGTAAGAACATGTGGCGCCTGTTTTTCCATTCTTGTGATGCTTAACTTAGAAGAATGGGCTCCAGCATCATTCAGGATAATACAAGAGGTGCTAGTTCACCACTGTTTTTTGTGACTGAGTAGTACTCCATGGCATACATATACCACATTTTATTAGTCCATTCATGTATTGATGGACACTTGGGTTGTTTCCACATCTTTGCAGTTGTGAATTGTGCTGCTATAAACATTCGGGTGCAGGTGTCTTTATTACAGGATGACTTTTTTTCCTTTGGGTAGATACCCAGCACTGGGATTGCTGGATCAAATGGTAGTTCTACTTTGAGTTTTTTGAGGTATCTCCACATTACTTTCCATAGAGGTTGTACTAGTTTGCAGTCCCACCAGCAGTGTATGAGTGTTCCTATCTCTCCGCATCCACGCCAACATTTATTGTTTTGGGACTTTTTGATAAAAGAAAGCCATTCTCACTGGAGTTAGGTGATATCTCATTGTGGTTTTGATTTTCATTTCCCTGATGATTAGAGATGTTGAGCATTTTCTCATATGTTTGTTGGCCATTAGTCTATCTTCTTTTGAAAAGTTTCTGTCCTTTGCTCACTTTTTCATGGGGTTGTTTAATTCTTTTCTTGCTGATTTGCCTGAGTTCTATGTAGATTCTAGTTATCAGCCCTTTGTTAGATATACAGCATGCAGATATTTTCTCTCATTCTGTAGGCTGTCTATTCGCTCTAGTGATAGTTTCTTTGGCTGTGCGAAAGCTTTTTAATTCGATCAGGTCCCATTTATTTATTTTTGTTGCTGCTGTGTTTGCCTTTGGGGTATTCCTCATAAGTTCTTCGCCTAGGCCAATGTCTATAAGAGTTCTTCCAACGTTTTCTTCTAGAATTCTAATGGTTTCATACCTTAGGTTTAAGTGTGTTATCCATCGTGAGTTGATTTTTGTGAGAGGTGAGAGGTGTGGGTCCTGTTTCAGTCTTCTACATGTGGATATCCAATTTTCCCAGCACCATTTACTGAATATGGATTCCTTTCCCCAGCGTATGTTTTTGTCTGCTTTGTCAAAGATCAGATGCTATATGAGGATGGTTTTATACCTGGGTTCTCTGTTCTGATCCATTGGTCTATGTCTCTGTTGTTTTTTTTTTTTTATTTCAGGATATTATGGGGGTACAAACATTTTGGTTACATGTTATGACTTTGCCACATCCAAACCATGATTTGAGGCATGCCCTTTCCCCACCTACAACACTCACCACATCCATTAGTTGTGAGTTTACCCACCCCCAACACCCCAACCCCCAAAGGATATTACTACTGTGTGAGCGCCTTAGTGTTGATCAGTCAGTGCCAGTTTGATGGCGAGTATATGTGTTGCTTATTCTTCCATTCTTGGGATACCTCACTTCAGAGGATGAGCTCAAGCTCTATCCAGGAAAATATAAGAGGTGCTAGATCACCATTGTTTTTTATAATTGAGTAGTATTCCATTGTATACATATACCATATTTTATTAATCCACTCATGGATTGACAGGCACTTGGGTTGTTTCCACATCCTCGCAATAGTGAATTGTGCTGCCATAAACATTCGAGTGCTGATGTCTTTATTATAGAATGAGTTTTGTTCTTTTGGGTAGATGCCTAATAGTGCTATTGCTGGATCAAATGGTATTTCTATTTTTAGCTCTTTGAGGTATCTCCAAATTCTTTTCCACAGAGGTTGCATTCTGTTCTTGTGCCAGTACCATGCTGTTTGTTTACTATAGCCTTGTAGTATAGCTTGAAGTGTGGTAAATTGATGCCTCCCAATTTGTTCTTTTTGCTTAAGGTTGCTTTAGCTATACGGGATCTTCTCTGGTTCCATACCAAGTGTAGAATTATTTTTTCTGGATCTGTGAAAAATGATGTTGGCATTTTAATAGGGATTGAATTGAATTTGTAGATCACTTCGGGTAGTATAGACATTTTAACAATGCTGATTCTGCCAATCCATGAATATGGTATGTTTTTCCATCTGTTTACATCCTCTACTATTTCCTTCCTAATGTTTCATAGTTCTCCCTGTAGAGGTTTCTTACCTCCTTAATTAAATATTTTCCTAGGTATTTTGTTTTCTTTATTGCTATTGTGAAAGGTATTGAGTCTGTAATTTGGTTCTCAGTTTGACTGTTGTTGGTGTATATGAATGCTGCTGATTTGTGTATATTGATTTTGTAACCTAAGACTTTGCTGAACTTATTTAACAACTCCAGTAGTCTCTTGTCAGTGATTTTTTTTTTTTTGCAACCCTGAAAGAACAATGACCTGACAAAACTCCTGCCTTGTCCAATGTTGCTTTGGGTGCAAAAACAGAAGTGGGAAATAGCCCTGTGTCACAGAGGCCACATGCAGTTTCCCAGAAGTGACAGAAATGAGACTTATGGAGCACCTGTTTATGGTGAGGGAAAGGATATAGTCTCTCTGCGGCCACAGCCATTCCCTTGAAGGCCAACAGAGACTTGAGTACTC